AGCTGTCCGTAAGGTTCATCCTGAAGCGTTCGGGAAAAGCCTGGGATATTCACTCCAAAATGGCCACTGCTAACTGCTGTCCACAAAAGTGTAAAGATCCGAACGTCGGACATGCATCTTCTTTGCAAGCGCATCGGTTTCGCTAGCTCAAGCGAGCTCGAATTTGAGAGGGCTTCCAATCATGTCAGAGCCTCGTAATGCTGGCACTCTGTGGCCACTCTTTTCGATGAGACCGAGCGGTTTTAAAACCTAAACTCTAAACCCTAAATTTCAAACCCTAAACCGTAAACCGGGAACCTCGAATCTCGGCAAACCAGACATCAAACAGGTGGGCCACAAGCCTACGGAGGCAGCAAGCCTCAATCTTGTAACGCAGAGAAGCTTTCAGCCCCCTGCCCTATCAGATCTAGCAGAGCTAAAGGTAACTCCTCTTCTTTCCCAGACCCCTCGCCTGAGGTAGTTTCTGACTTAGGAATTCGTGTTTCTTATCCGGGTTCCGCATATGGGCCCAGAGCTTCTTCACATGGCTCCTAGATGATCTCGCTCTTCAGAACGTGACAAATCTGAGGAAGCCCAGCATGACACGCGAGAAAGGCGAGGCCCCTGCGTGCAAAAGCGTGCAGCAAGTTGGCCGCATGCCTTGCGCCGAAGTCCTTCGTCTTTGGCTTCCAGGCTTACTTTTCAACTTTTGAGATCGCCATCTGCCACTACTCGCGTCTTGCCGTTGTCTCGCTTTCGTTCTGACTTAAGCTGAAACTTCAAAAGCCTCCAACTTTGACACCTCGAGACTCCACACCACTTCGGGGTCGAGTTACAGGGGGTGAAAGCTTGGAGCAAACCGGGCAGCTTTCTGGGACAGTAACGAAGCACACGGCCACTCAGCCGGCCCACTGCTGAAGATGTGGAGCACGACTCAACACATTCTGGTGCTAGCTGTCTCCTCGGACCCACCCCGTGAGGAGAGATGCTAAATAAGGCAGCCGAACCTTTTATGTTTGGATTTCAAGCGGAAGCTTACGCCTCTACGTGAAAGATGGTTAATAATGCCGATGCATTTACGACAGTCCGGCCCCCTTCAACACCCGAACCGAAGCACGTCTCCGAATCCATGCTGCGAAATGCTGCGGCAAACTTTGCCGGCTCCTTGCCGGACATTATGGTCTAATGTAGGGGCCTTTAATAATCAGAATAGGCTTTCGGAGTTTCGGGTACATTGTACTATATTTATACTAAGGGACACCCAAAATACTGCGGGTAATTATTAAGGCCTCTATATTAGAGTCAGCAAAGTCATCAAACCGTATCCTTGCCTTCGCCTGAAGCAAGGACAGTGCGGCAATATGCCTGCGGACTTCGGGGCTCTGAATCTTTCCCTAAACCAAAAACCCTAAACCCTAAACCATAAACCCTAAACCCTAATCCCTAAACCCTTTGTGTTGGGAAGTCAGGACCCAAAGCTCTGAACATCGGCTGCTCGAGGCCTTGAAAACTCCGGATCTGAAGGTCCAAATCCACAACCTTGTGCTCGGAACCTTCATGAAATCCTCGCTGGTTTAGCCCTCTCAAACCTAGCTCCAAAACCACTCCGAAACCTCGAAACCTCTACGACAGGCAAGAGAGACTGTATCCTAAGGAGCGGAGAAAGGTAAGATTCGGACTCTGTTGGCAAGGGATCCTCAACAAGAGCCAGTGAGTGTAAGCTTGCATGCAAGGGTGTCCTGTGAAGATGCGCAATGTTGCCCCATCCTATATCGTGTGCCCTCTACCACAGCTCAATAACGGAACTACTCGCAGTCTCTGTGCCAGGTGTCCTAAACCCTGAACCTTCGCAAGTACGTAGGAAACCCTGTTGGTGGCGACCTGAAAAGCTTGGTGTCATACGAGCGGAGCTTCATGAAGGCGGAGGCCTGGCTTAGTGGACGGTTTTGAATGGATTATGTATGCCAGTTTAGAAGTTTAACCAGCTTTCGAACCGGATTCTGCGGGTTGGTATTGGCTGTTCATGTAGGGATCCTCAAAAGAACCATCCTGCTATGCCAGGTAACTAATACTTACTGTGGCATTGCAGGTCTTCTGCTTCGAACTGTTGGGCTCCATGGTTGCTGTTAAGAGCTTAGGTGAGCTTCGGAGAAACGCCATCTTTCTCGGATCTTGATGCTCGGGCGTTTTCGGCTATACGGCTTTCGGATTCCGGGGATTGTACCTATAGTCTCCATTGTAGTTCCTTTTTTGGGTTTAACCCATTATACATTAAGGACTTCATAAGGTATCCCCAAAAAGGAGCTACAATGGAGACTATAGGTAGCTATTTAGGCAGTGTGGGTTGGGGGTCGGTTTAAGGTTCAGGGCACCGAAGCATGCCGCCAGGGAGCGAAACTGACGGGTGCACGGGCTCACGTCTTCAATCAAGCACACCAAGAGACACCCATAATCGCTACTCCTTGTAGTCAAGGCTCAGGCCAACCAATCAACTGAAAGCTTATTTCAAACACCCGGCAAACCCTAAACCCTAAACCCCGGCAAGCTCGCGGTTGAAGAAACCTCTGGCGACCCCCACCTCTCAGCTGCACCCCAAGTCGGGCTGAGGCTGCTGGGGCCCGAATCAGGCCCCAAACGACCCCAAACTCTGTAGGCCCTGAATCTTAAGACCCAAACCCTGTAGATCCTAAACGCCCTTTTCCATCCGGGCTTATGCGCAGGACCTAGACTGAATTCACAACTCATCAGAACCACATAGCTCTTACCGAAATCCACGGGCTTTTGGGTCCGAAAAGGTTCAAAGACCTCACACATTCCCTACACCCTGACGGCGATAACCCGTAAAGACCCCAAAGCCTCAAAAACCTGCCAGACCCTGGACCCTAAATCCTGCAAGTCCTAAACCCTAGAGCCCATACGTAGCCAATCCCAGCCTCAAACCCTGAGGACCCCTAAAGCCTATATGGGAGTTTCCGGAAATTAGGGGTACCTTCTTTTGGGGTCCTTATAATAAGGATCCTACTACTTAGGGTACTTTTACTTGGATCCCTATTTTCGGAAACCCCCATATACACTGCCCAAGACTCTGGCCACCAGGGTCAGCTCCTGAGGATTTGCCTCTGGTAGCTTCCAAAGCAGCTCCTTGTTACGCGCTTCTTGGGACTTCTTGGGCTTGGGGTCTAAGTTGAAGGCTGGTTTGGGGGGAGTCTCGTCTTGAGTTTCGATCATGTCTCAGCCCTGCAAATCGCTCTCAAGAAATTCCGTCTACGAAACATGCCAGGAGTCGTCGACAGAGTTTTAGTAGACAAGCAATACCAGTTACATAAACCACCCTGAATAACAACAAATGCGCTGGTAGTCATGCAATGGCGAATGACCCGCAGATTCAACGGTGGTCAGCAACATCATCGGCGTGACTATGCTCTCCGCTATGATCAATCATCATCATTTGTCGTCTCGTCACCTCAGAACCACCAGAATCAGATTCAACCCGGTAGCCAACAACAATTTCACACCCATGCTGAAATCGCCATGCTCGTCTTCAGAGTCAACATACATCACCTTGACCACCCTTGCCATTAACATGATTGCGATCACCAACACCACCGTCGCCACCGCCACCGCCACCGCCGCCGCCACTGCCATCACCACCACCACCATCATCAGCAGCATCTATATCACTATCATCATGAACATCATCATCACAACCACCATCATCATCATCATCATCGTCATCCTCATCCTCATCCTCATCATCATCACAACCTCCACCAGCACCAGCACCAGCAGCAGCAGCAGCAGCAGCAGCAGCAGCAGCACCACCACCACCACCACCACCACCACCACCACCACCACCACCACGACCACCACCACCAGCAGCAGGGGCAGTAGCAGCACCAGCACTAGCAGCAGCAGCAGCAGCAGCAGCAGCAGCAGCAGCAGCTGCACCAGCAGCAGCGGCAGCAGCGGCACCAGCAGTAGCACCACCAGCAGCAGCACCAGCAGAAGCACCAACACCCGCACCCGCACCCGCACTACCAGCACCGGCAGCAGCGGCAGCAGCAGCAGCAGCAGCAGCACCAAAGTCATGACCATCATCTCCATGTTCTTACATCCTCATCATTGTCATTTGTATTGTCATTTGTATTACGAGCACGACAAGATCACCCTAATCACCATCATCATGACAATCGCCGCCATCATAGTGACTGTCACCTTGATCGCCACGTTAGGACCACGAACATATCACCGCTTCGATGAGTACTACTAGCATACTTGTCACCCATACAAAGGAATTCACCCTGACCATGCTCGTCACCTGAACCGACAGGAGCTCTTCACGACAGCCGCCTCTCCACCATCAGCGGGATGGCTACGGTCACCTTCATCATCATTAACATTGTCACAGTCATCATCATCACCACCAACAACATTATCAACGTTGTCATCAACAGCGGCAAAATCCACGTCGACATTGACCTCCTCCTCCTCCTCCTACTCCTCATCATCATCGTCATCATCATCATCACCACCATGCGCCCATCGAAATACCGGACAGACTGGCAACCACCTCTCCTCGGCGCAGTTACGGAAGAGCTGCGGAGCTGCATGTGACTGCTGCGCATAGCTGTTGCACAGCAGTGTTAGGTCCTTTAGCCGGTGTCAGCTTGAAGGTCTAGGTTCGGTTGAAGTGGTTTCTGCAGGGCTCGTTTGCCTTCCAAACAAGGCACTAGCAGTCTCTAGCTGCACAGCCTCCCTTTGCCATCAATACGTGCATTACTCACAAGATTCACAAGATGATGATACATCGGCCCAGAACATCGACCCTAAACCCTAAACC